CTCTTTCAAAGAAAATCAATTTCTAAACCCAGTCCTCAAAATCAAGCATATTATGTACAAGGAGTTCTTCAAAAAGTTAATGGGAAATGTGAATCATGAAAAAAACATGAAGTTCAAAAAAATCTTTACACCAACTTTTTTTTTAAATTACACCAAAAGAAACTTTAATTCCATTTTGCTACACTTTGTAAAGCTCCCTGGCACATACCCTGATCATGAGAGCAAATGTATGAAAATCTAGTTGGGCTAAATCTGGAATAGCCATATAACATCTTCCAAACTGGGACTTAATTTGTACTGGAGAGAAAGTAAAAGAAATGACCCCCCAGGGAGGGTGGCCATGTCACAATCCCTTCTCCATTCTCCCCTTGGGATTCTGGGCACATGTGCACACACACCTGGCGTGTTTTTTAAGCTGCAGGGTTCGGGACTCAAACCACAGTTGGCCATGTGAGATGGAGCCACCTTAACTGTCTGGCCCGAATTGGGACTTTAAGAGTGAAAAGGTGAACTTGAATTTTTATTATGTGTTGATATACGTATATATAAACTACAACCGTCCCCATCAAATCGGGACAGTCCCTGCTGACTTCCCAAAAGACCTCTCCTCAACAAGGAATAATTCCAAGATAATTCCATGACATAATTTCAGACAACTCCACACACTTTATAGTTTACAAGCCAGCCTGGCCAGGTCTCTCAAATTCTGTACTGTCCTCACCCCACCAGTGCAGTCTTTAGGGTTGCTGTTTTCTCCTTACCCTTCTCTTCCTGACTGATGCTTGCTGCAAGTGGCGGATACAGCAGAGATCCTTACTGTAAACCTCACTGCACTCTCTTGGCTTTCTCAGGTAAGTGCATATAGATAAAGAGATATTCTTTCATTTTCTTTCTTCCTTTCTTTTCTCCCTTTCCTTATTTGCCATAGGGCATGTGACCTCACTGGAGACAGAGAAAGGGGTGACGGTGAGAAAGCAATCTCCAGAGATGGCCACACCACAGACCCTTTGCCATTTTCCTCTCCTTGTGTTTTTCAAGCCACCAGGTTCCAGGACTCAAACTGCAGCCAGCCACGTGGGATCCAGCCATCTTTGCCACCATGCCACCAGCTG